GATTTCAAAGTCAAATAGATTTAAGTAAAAGTTTTGAGTAAAAGATTTAACGAAATAAACTGCTAAAAGTCTTGAATATTCAATACATTATAAGGAAGAAGACATTTAAAAATATTCACCAACTGTCATGGTTCGTGGCCCACCCTGTACCTAACATAAACTGTTTTTTACAAGGAAGGTTGAAATTGAACGACTTTTATCACTGCACGAAGCCCTTAGCTTAGCCCGTATTAACTCACTGCTAACTGTATACATGTAAAACCCAGTCGTAGGACACGCCAGGCGTACTTTTAATAAAATTTTGAATCATAGACAATCATGAGGCGGAATTAATCCCAGATTAGTACAATGATAAAGTTTAACCAGTACTTTTTAGTAGAACTTAGATTTTAAGACTTTAAGTCCTAACAACTTTTTTTTCCAATGTTTTGTCTGCAGGTTTTGTTCTCTATTTTGTTTCATTTATCAAAATTTTACCGTCTCAACGTTTCTTTTTACTGTATGTATTAGAAGATGAGGAATCTTTTGAAATTGTCGACGAAAGGAATTAAGTCCTTGCTGCACAAGCTCAGATTTTCTAATCCCTATATTTTTGTAGCCTAATTTCGTAGACCTTACATATTTAAAACTATTTTTGAATGTTCAAATTTAATCTAGGTTTGAAAGATCTAAGGTTTACACACCATCAGATTGCAAAGATATAGGGTTTAAAAATTTCTTTGTTTCGCTTTTATTTGCAAAATTTTTTATCTTTAATCGTCAAAAACCTTGATTAAACAACTAAATTTTTCAAACTTCTTTTTTATATTCTATCGCTTTTTTGTATGTACTAATTTGCATTGTACGAATCTTTTTGTACTGGTTTTTGTGCAAAAACATCTTTTTAAAGCTTACTTTATGACAGTAGATTCTAACGGTTGGAAAAATTATCAGTAAGACTCACAGTCATCAAATTGACTCATGAAAATTCCCACGTTACGTCCCTCAGAGTTTGGAAATTACCTTTCTTCTCCCCCCAAAAAAGTTTGTTTATTTATTAATTTTGTGTTTTATAACCAAGTAAACATAAGGAAATTAATGCATTTAAATGATTACAATTAAGGACAGGGGATAGACTCCAATGCGAAAATAAATTGAAAGCCAGCTAGTGAAAAAGATAGTTATTGAAAAGATAGATAGATACTAAAAGGTAGAGAGAGGCCGATCCTATATTCAGTTCCAAGCCTACAAGAGGCTGGTTGGGACCTGCAGGGCACTACCGCCCTTACATTCAATATTCACCACAATTAAGAATTGTTCAACCGATCTGTCAAAATCCGCAATTTTGTATTTTCTGTACATTTTTTTCTTAATGCGGGAAAATATCGGATTATTACTTGTTTCCCTGTCAGTGTGTGAGTTTAGTTTGTCGATGCCAGTGTCTCAGGGAGGACAATATATTTCCTTTTTCCCACACTACCCAACATATATCAATATGAGTGGGGAGGGACAGGGTGTGGGCAGGGGGAGGGGTAGGAGGGGGTTTATTTTCTTAGCACTTTGCTTCTTCTATATTCTTGGTGGTAATAACACGCTACTAAACATTATCAGTGAACGAAGTACATTTAGAAAATATAAAATATAAGATATGTTACAACATTGATAAAAATAGTCATAATATTTCCGACATATGCTTTTTTTCCTATATATGTAGTCTCCTCATCTCCATACTTATTTTATTAAGTATACTTAAGGTGATTAAAAGTCTTCAAGTAAAACTAAATCAAATTGTTCAGATTAATCAAGAGTTATTAATGTTTTATTCAATATTTTCCATCAAGTTTTGGATAAAATATCAAGAATATCTTTATTCAGTAGAAGTAAAAAGTGTTTAAACTAGTTTAGACAAGTTCTAATTATTGGAAAATCTTTAATCAATACTGCTGTAGTTTAATCCGTCTTTCCAACCTTACTTTGGTTCAAACCTTTCCTTTCCAACCTTACTTTGGTTCCAACCTTTCCAACCCTACTTTGGTTCCAACCTTTCCTTTCCAACCTTACTTTGGTTCCAACCTTTCCTTTCCAACCTTACTTTGGTTCCAACCTTTCCAACCCTACTTTGGTTCCAACCTTCCTTTCCAACCTTACTTTGGTTCCAACCTTTCCAACCTTACTTTTGTTCCAACCTTTCCAACCTTACTTTGGCTCCAACATTTCCTTTCCAACCTTACTTTGGTTCCAACCTTTCCAACCTTACTTTGGCTCCAACCTTCCTTTCCAACCTTACTTTGGTTCCAACCTTTCCAACCTTACTTTTGTTCCAACCTTTCCAACCTTACTTTGGCTCCAACATTTCCTTTCCAACCTTACTTTGGTTCCAACCTTTCCAACCTTACTTTGGCTCCAACCATTCGTTTCCAACCTTACTTTGGCTCCAATCTTTCCTTTCCAACCTTACTTTGGTTCCAACCTTTCCTTTCCAACCTTACTTTGGTTCCAACCATTCCACCCTTACTTTGGCTCCAACCTTTCCTTTCCAACCTTACTTTGACTTCAACCTTTCCAATCTTACTTTGGCTCCAATCTTTCCTTTCCAACCTTTCTTCGGTTCCAAACTTTCCTTTCCAGACTTAATTCGGTTCCAACCTTTCTTTTCCAGCCTTACTTTGGCTCCAACCTTTCCTTTCCAACCTTACTTTGGCTCCGACCTTTCCTTTCCAACCTTACTTTGGTTCCAACCTTTCCAACCTTACTTTAACTCCAACCTTTCCTTTCCAACCTTACTTTGGTTCTAACCTTTCCTTTACAGCCTTACTTTGGTTCCAACCTTTTCTTTTTAGTCTAACTGTGCTCCAACCTTTCCTTTCCAGTCTTACTTTGGTTACAACCTTTCCATCCTTATTTTGGCTCCAACCTTTCCTTTCCAACCTTACTTTAGCTCCAATCTTTCCTTTCCAACCTTACTTTGGTTCCAACCTTTCCTTTCCAACCTTATTTTGGTTCCAACCTTTCCTTTCCTACCTTACTTTGGCTCCAACCTTTCCTTTCCAACCTTACTTTGGCTCCAACCTTTACAAACTTACTTTGGTTCCAACCTTTTCTTTCCAACCTTACTTTGGCTCCAACCTTTCCAACCTTACTTTGGCTCCAACCTTTCCTTTCCAACCCTACTTTGGTTCCAACCTTTCCAACCTTACTTTGGCTCAAACATTTACTTTCCAACCTTACTTTGGTTCCAACCTTTCCTTTCCAACCTTACTTTGGCTCCAACCTTTCCTTTCCAACCTTACTTTGGTTCCAACCTTTCCTTTCCAACCTTACTTTGGCTCCAACCTTTCCTTTCCAACCTTACTTTGGTTCCAACCATTCCTTTCCAACCTTACTTTGGTTCCAACATTTCCTTTCCAACCTTACTTTGAACCAACCTTTCCTTTCCAACCTTACTTTGGTTCCAACCTTTCCTTTCCAACCTTACTTTGCTTCCAAACTTTCATTTCTAACCTTACTTTGGTTCCAACCTTTCATTTCTAGTCTAACTGTGCTCTAACCTTTCCTTTCCAGTCTTACTTTGGTTCTAACCTTTCCATGTCTTACTTTGGTTCCAACCTTTCATTTTCAGCCTTACTTGGGTTTCAATAATTTAATTCATTTATTTCAATCCTTTCTATGTAATTCTTCTATCCGATCCTTCTATTAAAATCTTTCTCTTTTTCAATTCGTTTATGCAATCTTTTTATCTTAATCCTTGGCAATTCTTCTTTCTAAACTTTCCATCCAATCCTCCAATTATCCAATTATCCAATTATCCAATTATCCAATCCTCCAATTATCCAAATATCCAAACCTTCAATTCTTCAATCCTTTAATCCTCCAATCCTTCAATTATCCAATCTTATCCCATCTCTAGTCCTATATTCAATCATTCTCTTAATCCTTTTATACAATCCTTCTATCCTATCTGATATCGAACAGTTAATCTAGTTTTTGGATTGTGACTGAAAGTTAGAGATATCTTAATATTGTATTTTGTTTAAAGGGAGTGTTCGCGAAAAATGAAAGGGGGTATAGGCTTAATACAATAAGAAAGCGCTTTTGATCGCTACTAATCTTAATTCTATCTGTTGCGTCTATAAAGAGAAAATTGTTAAAGACGTCTCATACCGAATAACTTAGCGTCCATACAAATTGAGAAAATTACAACATTGTTTTGAATTTGATTATTTCTCTTGTCGCTTGCGCAACTATCTAAGAATGCCGCGCACCACTCACATTTTTCGAAATCCGTTAAAAACGTTTTGCTAAAAAAATAAAATATAAAAAATTAATTTAAAAATATTATAAAATATAAACTATATACAAAATGTGTCGAAATATAATCGATGACTATAGGTTGTAATATCTGAATGATTTGTTTAATATAAAATTGATTTTTTTTTACGGTCTAAGTCGTATGTTGCAATTTTCTCAATTTGTATGGGCGCTAAGTTATTCTGTATGAGACGTCTTTAGCAATTTTCTCCTTATAGACACAACAGATAGAAGTAAGATTAGTAGCGATCAAAAGCCCTTTTTTATCGCATTAAGCCTATACCCCCTTTCATTTTTCGCGAACACTCCCTTTAAAGATTACTTAGAAACTTTTTTTAATTCCTTTGCCTATATATATATATATATAATTCTATATCTTTGCGACCTGATGTTGTACACCTTTGATTATTTGATCTAACAGCATGCAGAATTTGAAATATATAAGGTCTACAAAATTGGGTTGTAATTGTCAATTCTTTAAAGTTATAGCATTGCCAATTGATGTCGTAGAATTGATGTTTCAACAATAATATAAATAGTAAAGTTTAAATTCATCAAAGGATTAAACATCCTATAGGTTGCAAAGATATAAAGAATAGAAATTTCAAAGTAGCCCAAGTGATCACTTCCCCTCTTAAGTCGATTATAAAAAGTCTTTGCTTTTTTTCTATCATGAGAGTAAATTTAATTCTTTCGTGTGTTATGAATATTTACATCTAGACATTTTTACAGGAAATTGTTCTCTTAACGATTTACTGAGAGTATCCTTCATCAAAATGTGAATAGTTTTCGTGATAGATAAAGTTTAGTTAGTGAAAAATCAATACTTGGAAATGTTTGAAGAATAAATCAATATTAATCTAAAATGTGAATCATGAATTGAAATAAAGTTATGCAAGAAAGTGAATAATAAGAAGAAGAATGGAGGTTCCCATGTCTATGATAGGTGGGCCGAATTATCAATATCAATACGAGGTAAAGCTAACCATTTATAACAGTATTATATTTTCTTTTTATCGTGAAGGCTCATGCCTTTTTAAATTATATTTTTTCCCAAGCTGTAGCGAAAGGTTAGAATACTGGATATGATAGGGAACTGGATAAGATAGGATAGGAAAGGTCGGGTTAGGATAGGATACTGGATAGGATAGGATACTGGATAGAATAGGATACAGGATAGGATAGGATACAGAATAGGATAGGATACTGGATATGATAGGATACAGAATAGGATAGGATACTGGATGGGATAGGATACTGGATAGGATACGATACTGGATAGGATATGATACTGTATAGGACAGGATACTGGATAGGATCATAGATAAATAAATAAACATAGATAGCTTATGTACGCAAAATCACCAAGAATTGTAAAGTCCGCGAACTCATACTTCTAGGGGTCAAAGTGTACTTCAATGATACGTGGGGTGGTTTGGTGTTATAATGTTCGTTGCAGATAACATTCGGATTGTGTCTTTTCCAATCTACTAGGTTTAACTATTCCTCCCGAATAGAATGTAAAATAACTCCGGGAATGGAACTATTTGAACAACAATATTTCACTGAGCAATATATCATATTGACGAGAACTGAAGAAGGACATAAGAAGGACTAAACTAACTTAAATTTCTCTCTACAGAACTCATGTACACCACAACTACTCAATGACATAAGAACAGCCAATGTTCACAACCCACCTAGTTAATCTATATAATATGAAATATCTTTAAAACATCTCTGTACATTTATATCTTTCAAGATGAAAAATGTCGTCTTATGCGCAATCGATTTTTATCTATGGATAGGATAGGATACTGGATAGGATAGGATACTGGATAGGATAGGATACTGGATAGGATAGGATACTGGATAGGATAGGATACTGTATAGGATAGGATACTGGATAGGATAGGATACTGTATAGGATAGGATACTGGATAGGATAGGATACTGGAGAGGATAGGACACTGGATAGGATAGGATACTATAAAGCTATAGTTTTCTTATCTTTCCTCCCATACATCTGGTGAACGGCTGAAAGCCGGGTTTTCTTCAAACTAGATTTCGATGATATTAAGCCTGGAAATTATGGCCCGGAGGTAGAAACACTTTCAAGAACAGATTTTCTAACTTTAAAATGGATCGTTAAGATTACCTTGAAATAGGAAGAAAAAAAGGGATTGTTCATCGTTTTTAAATTACACAAATGTTTGCACAGTTCTCATGCGCGCATCACTGCAGTATGTGCATGTGGGAATTTCTTTTATTCCGAATAATTGTTAAAAGTTTTGTCATAGATTTTGCGGTCAGGACGACGAAATTTGAAAATTGACGGCAAAAAAATTAAAAATACGAACACTTTTGATTTCTGTTAGTTTATTTTTTCGATGAAATTCATTCAAAAACAGTTAAAACGGTTTCGTCCTAATTGAAGCAAACGTTTTAATCGCGAATTTCATGGAAGAGGTGACAGATGTTCTTGTGCTTTCCAAAATTGAGGTCAATTGTAAATTTTGAAAAAGGTAAAAATCCTTTCATTCTATGCGGATGAAAAATCACTAAAAATTATTTTCAAATTACATATAAATTCCAAAAATAATAATAATAATAATAATAATAATAATAACAATAATACTAATGATAATAATAATAATAATAATAATATTAACAATAATAATAAAAAAAATTCTTTACACTTTATAAGAAAGAGGAACTGGATATGCAAACAAGCCTCAATTGATAAAACTTTCTTGATGTTCTCATTTCTTTGAAGCTTCCCTAGAAAAAATCAGATTTTGCTCTTCTGCATAATATCAGAGAACTCAGACTTTTTTGTATTTTATTTCAACAACTTGAATATTGAATAATATTTTGTTTAATTAAAAAAACTACCGGCATGATATTTCAACAATCATTAATTATTAATATTGTAAAATTAGGGTTATCCAAAGACTTCAAATCAAACGCGATTACGTTTGTAAAATTGATGCAACTTTTAATAGCAGTTGGTTCTTTGTGGGATATTAGGACACCCCGGACTAACCAGGGCATGCATTCGGTTTCTTCTATTTATTTCTCTATTATTCAACCAGTGTTCGTCTATAATTCAACAATGTTTGAACTTTTTCGTTTTAAATGCATATGCCGACAAAAAATTACAAAAGAGAAAAATTATGTTAAATAGAACAAATCACAGCTTTCTGGGATAAGGGCCGAACCCTTAATTAGGTAGATTCTATAATCTAAAAAATTCAATTACGCATGGGTAAAGGAGTTCAGTCATTTTATTACAAAACTTAAAACCATACAGTTTCAAAAACAATGAAATTCTGAATTTTGATATATAATTTAGATGTTTTTGTTTAATTAGATTTGAATTCTTATTAATTATTTGTGTATTTAGGATCCTAATCTGTGTCACCAGATGGGACAAATGTCTTTGCAGGTAAGTTTATTTTTGTTCAACAACTTTAATTCTAATTGAACCTGTAGCAGGAAACAGCAGATACAACATTTCCATTTTTTTTATCTTCGAGGACGTTAACTTTCATTGAAAATAATTTTTTTATTCAAAAAAACGTACTTTTTATTTTGCTATATACATTATACAACACATAAAAATATACATATATACGCACCAACTAACAAAATTGCTAAAATTTAAATCCAAAAACAAAATTTAATTGTCCTATACACAAATATTTTCTTAATGAAAGTAAGAATAACTTTACCTCATTAATCTGTAGAGAAGAAAATAATTCAATTTAAAAAATGAATAATATTAAGCCAGGGTTCAGGGTCACAATGTTACACTGAAATTTCAAATATTTTAGAAAAATTCAGACAAACTTCAAACAAAAATTCTTCATACTTGTAAGTGACATCTCCTTTATAGATAAAATAAAGGAAATTTGAGACGGTATGGTGTAAGAACTTTTAAAAAAATGTCTGTTGATTGTGATAATAGTTTTTTAAAAATTTTTTTTTAAAGAAAGTGTATGCTTTATAAGATAAGCTTCTTCCTTCATAGCCTCAGAAATGGTTTAACATGATTTAATTCAATGTTGACACAAAAGTCAAGATAAGAAGACGGCACAGTAGATTCAAATTATTCTTAATTTTTAACTTTAATCTAACTTTAAGCTAAAACTTCCAACGGAAACATTTCTCGCGAAAATCATGAAAGATGTGACTGAGGAAATTATATATTCTACATGGATATCATACATTTTGAATTCTATTTTTTTGTAAAAAGTAAAGAAAGCCTTGGAACACTTTTTATTTAAATGTTTAAAAATCAAAATCTTCGGGTCTCAAATGAAAAACTTGGGGTCTAAAATAAAAATCTGATTGTTTCCGAAGAAAAAGGGTCTTAGAACGTACATTAATACGACTGATTTCTTCTCAAATTTTGATTGGAAGAAAAATATGATTTACTTTTTTAATTTTAGCATAACTATTGCAGTAATTGCTAATCCAGTTGCATTTTACATGATTATATCTGGATTTTAAATTCGTTGTGCTCGAAAAAAAGAGTAAAATTATTTGGAAACACGTATCTTTAGCAATCATGCAACTTGAAAACGAGTACAAAGCAAAAAATGATAAAAATTAATAAATTGAAATCATACATATACTTTTTGATCTAGAACGTTGCAAGCGTGTCTAGTTCACAGATCTCAGCCTATTCAAGTTTTCAATTTGATTCTTAACTAAAAAACAAAACTTGAATCCTTAAGATTAAATAAGAGTCTTGAAAATATATGTAAAGTATATAAGTTAAAAATGAATATGTATATCCGTATATATTCTCCAAGCTTACCATTCAATATTAAGTATTCAGCAGTCCATGAATTAGAACTCAAATACTAAGATTACAACTGTCTATGTATTAACTAACATTAGAACTCAAATACTATGTAAGATTATAAAGTTTCTATGCATTACCGTAAAAGGAGTTTTTTTTGTAAAAAGTTGTTATAAACCAGGGTAATAAGAGAAGGAAAGTTAATTGCTGTTGTGTATACTCTGTGTACATATTGTAACCTGTTCTCTCTGGGCGGTGTTTGTAAACAAGAATAGATGCATCAGTGTTCCTGTATAGTATCCGAGGCGGATAAAAGCATTTTATTTAAATTTTGTTTGATAATTTTCATGATAGTTTCCTATGACCAGAATATTTCATTGATTTTTTATGTGAAAGATGGATCCCCTTTCAGGCTGTGACATCCGTCTTGTGTTTACTTTACAGCCCAGAGACAAACACTGTAGTACTAAAAATGCGTACATCTCTAAAATAACAGCCTTATAACCTTGGAAATAACTATGTTTACATTATAATTTTCTCCAAAGAATTTAAGCTTGGGGACATTTTCACATTTTCTTAGAATTCATTTATCATTGTTGCAACTTCCTTTAAACCACACAGAAACACTGGAAACTTGAAAACCATAACAAACTTCATGGATATTTTATAACTTTGTGTACAGTATGCAAACCGGTCTAATTTCTGCAGTGCCCATCGTATTGTGTCGCAGACTATCCTACAGATATCCACCCACCAAGTTGCAGCATTAAAGGGAGTGACCGGCTCTGTAAGTAAGTTGAACTGAGTATACAGTGTTGCGCAAATCTTCTTTCGGATTTATTTGAGACATATTAAACTTTTTAAAGATCTGTAAATCCTGAGTTTGAGAGCAAATTCGACGTTTAAAACTCGTACTTTGGGGGTGGATACGTTTTCAGAATTAGTTTTTTCAAATCATTAAATAACGACGACATAAAATGTAAAAAAGTTCTACAATAAACTACAGACGTCATGTAGAGGAATATGTTGAGAAAATAAAATTAATCTTATCATCGAAAATAAGTGATCTTGTTCAATTATTAGTTTCTATTTTCTCATTATTCTGGTTTCTAATTATTCACAAAGATTTTCTGCAGATTTTCTAGAATTTTTATTGAAAAGACAACATTTGAAGAATTTAAAGAAATCTGCAAAGCAATTCAAAGAAAACAAGAAATTCAATATAATAATGAAGACGAAATAATCGGTTTTAGCATTGAGTTATTGACAAATTTCTTTTGAGAAATATGTTCCTAACAATCTAATTAGATTACTGTATAATTTTTACTTTATTTTTTGTTGTCGTTATTTAATAATTTAAAAAAAAACTAGTTCTGAAAACGTATCCACCCCCAAAGTACAAGTTTTAACGTCGAATTTGCGCTTAAACTCAGGATTTACAGACCTTTAAAAAGTTTAATATGTCTCAAATGAATCCGAAAGAAGTTTTCCACAACACTGCATACTCAGTTCAACTACCTTACATAGCCGGTCACTCCCTTTAAATAAAATATTCCATTCCCGATTCTGAGATGGTAACTAATGAGTGAGATGGAATTTATTAAGCCTTATGTAAAGCTTAACTATGTAACTTTACCTTAAACATTTCAATCAAGGAAAACAGTTTATGATCTTTAATTGGTAAAAGTTAAATTCCTATTTTAAAGTTTCACAAATGGTTTAATGCGAATATAATATTTTTCATAAGTTTCTTGTACTATCTTTCTGTCTATGTATCATTACTGTGTTCCTAGACTGCTAGCTATCCCCTATCTCCTGATATGTGTAGTGTTATTACTGTGTTCCTAGACTCCTAGTTATCCCTATCTCCTGCTATGTAAAGTGTTATTACTGTGTTCCTAGACTGCTAGCTATCCCTATCTCTTGCTATGTAAAGCGTTATTACTGTGTTCCTAGACTGCTAGCTATCCCTATCTCCTGCTATGTAAAGTGTTATTACTGTGTTCCTAGACTCCTAGCTATCCCTATCTCCTGCTATGTATAGTGTTATTACTGTGTTCCTAGACTGCTAGCTATCCCTATCTCCTGCTATGTAAAGTGTTATTACTGTGTTCTTAGACTGCTAGCTATCCCTATCTCTTGCTATATGTGGGGATAAATTTAAGGCTCTAGTCCCAATAAAAATTCTCTCAAGAGACTCTGAAATAGAACAAGGATTTCCTCTGTCCATTCTCATTTATATTTATTTTTATTTTCTAACAGACTTTATACTTTTTAACTTTTGCTCATTATTTTAAAGAAATATTTGAAAACCAGATTTTTATTTTAGAAAACCTTTTTTCCTACTTTTTTCTAATTTTATTTGAGAAAGCGATAAAACGTTGTTAAGTTGTGATAAGAGAATATTTAACTTATAAATAAAATGATTGAGTTTAAAGATTTTCTTTTTCACAAAAATAGGAAATAACGTCATTTAACCTTTGTTGTTGAACTTTATGGTATTAATTTTATCAAATATACTAATAAAATTATAAAAAGCTTTTAAAAATATAAAATGTTGGAATTGGTGGATTTTCTAAAAGTTTTTGGATTGTGAAATTGTTACTCTATACTGTCCATACATCTTCCCTTGGCATGGTTTAAGATCTTACAAAATGAATTCGGTTTAGCCGTTTCAACGCCTATTGGAAATAATCAAACAGGCAACCCAAATAATCAAATAGAGAGTGAAAACAATCTTCTATAATCATAGAGAATAGAATATATATTAGAGAGGAATTTAAAGAATCTCTCGGTATGAATTTTTTCAGTCCCTTTCAGCCTGAAAGGGAGTTCTAAGAGTACAAATCATGTAAATGTTCACAAATTATATGCAGTAGAGTACATTAATACAGTATGTTCCCTAGACTTTTCATTTAAATTTCGAATTTTTTAAAGCTGTTAAATAAACAATATGATGAATTAGGTGAATAAAAAACATAATTTGATTTATAGCTATAACGGAAAATCATCGTTTGTAAAGTGAAATGATCATTGGTCAATTATGAAACCAGCCTATTTCATAATTTTAGATTTTCTATAAAATGATATTCCAGGGCCCAAAAGGTTATATAGCATGAATATGTGAAGTACACCAGAGTGCAAAACTTAAGAAAATTATAAAACTCTCTACGATACCCGGTTTCCTGAAACCCGGGTTTGGCAGAGTTCGGGTTTCATGTTCTTAAAACTTATTTTGAAACTCTAGGAAACTGGGTTAAAATATGCTGTCGTTGGAGTCTCCAGCTGTGGTGTTTTATGAATAAAGATGCTACGCACTTGAAAGTGATCAAATTGGTATCCGTTTTTTGGCGTAAAAGTCGGCCCATCCAAGGAAAGATTTAAATTTACACTCTTAAAATGTCCAGAAAGGTGGAGCCACAGATTTTTTTAAATATCTGTAGTTGTGTGATATGATTAGATACATTTGTGAATTTGCTGAGACTTTCTTTTAGTTTAAAGAATATTTTTGGTACTAATAAAACTTAAAAAAGTTTTTTTTTGCACAAGGATCTCATTAAAAAAAATTTCTAAGGATACAATTTTTTTCTGTTGCACACTAAATTTTTACAATATCACTAAGATTTTTAAGCAAAAGTAATTTACAGGACTTTTTGAAAAAACTATTTTAATGTATTAGGTAGATTAATGTTAATTTTTCTTCAGCAGTCTATTGATATTATTATTTAGACTTCAGCTAACATTTTTGAGAAGCCAGTGGTAAAAGGATATTAATATATGTGTCCTTTGTTACTTTTTGCAATGAAAACAAAAAAATTGATTTTTCAACAATTTTTAGAACTTTGTCTCATTGAATCAAACATGGAAATGTTTAAATCAATGATTGATTTTTAAATGTTTCAGAAAATTGTAGATGTTAATGTTGTTTACGATCATGAATTATACAGACTGATGAATGTCAAAAGAAAAAGACATATTTATCAACAAAATTAATATTTATTTTGTATTTTTTCAAGGTTAGGAAGGCTGGGTTAGGACAATTTCTGGGCCAAGCGCTGAGGCTAGGGCAGGCTGGGAGCCAAGCGCTGCGACTATAGAACAGACTAGATTGCCGAGCGCCGCAGCTATGACAGGCTAGGGTGCAAAGCGCTGCGGCCACAAGTCCAATCATATCCATGTGTTTACAATGAGATGTATACATGTCATTATGAGGGGGGAGGGGGGCGGGGTCTAAAATCGTACTCTAAGAAATTACCTAGATGACTAGCACCAAACATGATGCGTAACTAAAGGGGCGTTAAAAAAACGTAAATTGTTTACAAAGATAAAATAAAGAACATTTCTGAAATGATCACAATTCTCTCTTTCATTTCACTGAAATGTTGAAAACAATTTCCAAATTATGATATCCTAGCAGATAAACTTAAATAAATTACTGTATTCACTTTTAACAGATCACTATCGAGTCTATAGAGAGGGAGATCTTAACTGATCAAGTATTTGGAACATATATGAAGCCATTTAAAGCATAAATATGGTGCTTCATATGTTCCACAATCACTACGAAACTCACTTTCCCAGCCGTAACCCTACTCCTATACAAGGGTTTCATTTTGAGGTATTGCCCCGTAACATTCTGAGTTTCCGGAGTTTCCCGAAACCCTTACGAAACTCAAACCCAGACTTAAGAGAGCTAACCCGGTTTCGTGGCCAGGTTTGGTTTGGGATACCCGGTAAATTTCTTTTAAGTTTTGCCCTCTGCAGTATGGAAACAGTACAACAAAATGGCCGTTTTACACTTTTTTCTAGTAAATTCCCCTCTAATATATATTCTATTCTCTATGTCTAAAATTGGTCTCCATCTTACATTAAAAAAATTAAAACAGGGTATCTAATTATGATTCATTCTTGAACCATTTGATTGTAATGTAATTTAAAGGGATTGACCGGCAATGTATGGTAGTTGAACTGAGAATTTGGTATTGTGGAAATTTTTTTTAGGATTCATTTGAGACATTTAATGATGTATAATTACTGAGTTTGATCGCAAAGTCGATGTTCAAAATCATCCATTTGGATGATTATATTTTTAAAATCCACTTTTTACAAAATTATCAAATACCGACGACACAAATTGTAACAAAAATTCTACAGTAAATAAATTGGTTGTTTAGGAAGAGGTTGAGAAAAAAAATTAACTCTTCTCATCGAAAATAAGTAATCTTTTTCAGAAATTGGCTATTGAAATGTCTCATTGTTCACAAACATTTTCTGGAATGTTTATTGAAAAGACGACATTTCAAGAATTTCAAGAAATCTGCGAGCACATTCGTAATGAATAAGAATTCAATATAATGATTTATTGACAAATTTCTATTAAGAAATATGTTCCTAAACATCTAATTAGATTACTGTAGAATTTTTAATACGTTTTCGTTATCTAATAATTTTTAAAAAATCGATTCTGAAAATATAACCACCCTAATGGATGATTTTGAAAGTCGACTTTGCGCTCTATCTCAATAATTATATATCATTAAAACGTTTTAAATGAATCCTAAATAATTTCTCCACATTACTATACATTCTCAGTTCAACTACCAAACATTTAAAGCACACAAAACTTAATGAACTATAACTCACTGTGGCGTAAAACAAAATTTTTCTGAAATGTAATTTATTTGAAACCCGGGTTTGGCAGAGTTCGGGTTTCATGTTCTTAAAACTTATTTTGAAACTCTAGGAAACTGGGTTAAAATATGCTGTCGTTGGAGTCTCCAGCTGTGGTGTTTTTTGAATAAAGCTGCTACGCACTTGAAAGTGATCAAATTGGTATCCGTTTTTTGGCGTAAAAGTCGGCCCATCCAAGGAAAGATTTAAATTTACACTCTTAAAATGTCCAGAAAGGTGGAGCCACAGATTTTTTTAAATATCTGTAGTTGTGTGATATGATTAGATACATTTGTGAATTTGCTGAGACTTTCTTTTAGTTTAAAGAATATTTTTGGTACTAATAAAACTTAAAAAAGTTTTTTTTTGCACAAGGATCTCATTAAAAAAAATTTCTAAGGATACAATTTTTTTCTGTTGCACACTAAATTTTTACAATATCACTAAGATTTTTAAGCAAAAGTAATTTACAGGACTTTTTGAAAAAACTATTTTAATGTATTAGGTAGATTAATGTTAATTTTTCTTCAGCAGTCTATTGATATTATTATTAACAAAATATTTCTAGACTGGTAGGGCACTGTATAATGTATTTGGCATTCATATTTTTATGATTAGTATTGTTTGTATATTTAGACAAAAGAAATGCAGAATGTTTTCTTCCCAGAAGAGAATAGAATAGAAATGAGTTGAATTCTGGGAAAAGTTGAATGAATGGAAAGAAAAGAATGGATTAAAGAGAAACCTATTTCACATTGGAGCATATGATTCACAAGATTCATGCAAAACTAAAGGTTTTAGAAAAGGGATAAAGAAAGTGAACATTTTATTTCTCTTAATATCTGATTTAAAAAGAAATCTTACATCATATGCAGGAGAATAGAAAAGTTTTAACAACTCTAAGTTCCTAAAAGTTAAAAAATTAAGTTCAAATTGTTTCATAAATACAAGTTTCACCAGAAAATCTTCCAAAAAAAGCCAAATTCTCAAATTCTCACATGCACCTGGAAACGAAATTTTCACTATTAAAGTCAACCCACTCAACTTAGAGTCTTAAAACCAAGTTAAGAACATTCCTGTGGGTCTTCCGAGTTACCCAATCAAAATTCGACTTAAATCGGTCCAGGTCTAAATCGTTAAACTAAGGGATAAGTCCCTTATTTAATACTACTCATGGGAGACACAGTTGTGTATTATCAAAAAAAAGTTAAATATAATTGTTAATTGTTTTAGGACCCGGCCTTTATAGAGGAACTGAGACGAATAGAACAAAATAAGACCAATAGTGCTTACTTCCCAGGTTAGTGCAATATTTAGTACAGGGACCAGAGTTGAGAATTTTTGTATTGTGGATATCGAGATCAAGCATGATCTTGATCCTTTATTAATCAACAGATTAATTTAATATACAGTGGTAATCGTACCCTACAACATTGACTGAAATAAAGAGATTATATTCTTAAATTAAAAGTGCCCACAGTGGATCCAAGTGCCCACAGTGGATATCAAGATCATAAGTATCCAAGTGCCCACAGTGGATATCAAGATCATAAGTATCAAAGTCCCCACAGCGGATATCAAGATCATAAGTATCCAAGTGCCCACAGTGGATATCAAGATTATAAGTATCCAAGTGCCCACAGTGGATATCAAGATCATAAGTATCCAAGTGCCCACAGTGGATATCAAGATCATAAGTATCCAAGTGCCCACAGTGGATATCAAGATCATAAGTATCCAAGTGCCCACAGCGGATATCAAGATCATAAGTATCCAAGTGCCCACAGCGGATATCAAGATCATAAGTATCCAAGTGCCCACAGCGGATATCAAGATCATAAGTATCCAAGTGCCCACAGTGGATATCAAGATCATAAGTATCCAAGTGCTCACAGTGGATATCAAGATCATAAGTATCCAAGTGCCCACAGTGGATATCAAGATCATAAGTATCTAAGTGCCCACAGCGGATATCTAGATCATAAGTATCCAAGTGCCCACAGTGGATATCAAGATCATAAGTATCCAAGTGCCCACAGCGGATATCAAGATCATAAGTATCCAACACAAAATTTTCCAAAGATTTAATTCAGTTTTTCTGTCAAAAATATTCTTTCAGCTATACTGAAAAAACAGTGGAATCTATTATCTAGTGTTATCAAGTAATTATCATTGAAAATCTAAAGACAAATTTTATATCAACTCTTTTTCTTATTTTTTTTTAAATCTTTTCTATTTATTTAGGACAACCAATAATACCTAATCAGGGCCAAGGGGTCTTCACGTTACCTGTACCAGGAACTTATCAGTCAATTATTTTATTAATCAGTCAGTTCTTTTATTAATCAGTCACTTCTTTTAAAATCAGTCAGCTATTTTATTAATCAGTCTGTTCTTTTACTAATCAGCCAGTTCTCTTATTAAATAGTTATTTTTTTTTATTGATCAGTCAATTAATTGATTAATCAGTTAATTATTATATTAATCAGTCAGTTCTTTTATTAATCAGTCAGTTCTCTTATTAATCCGTCAATTTTATTATTAACTAGTTAATTTTTTTATTTATCAGTCAATTATTTTATCAATTAGTCACTTCTTTTATAATCAGTCAGTTATTTTCTTAATCAGTCAATTCTTTTATGAATCAGTCACTTCTTTTATAATAAGTCAGTTCTTTTATTAATCAGTCAATTCTTTTAATTAATCAGAGTCAATTCTTCAGTTAATCCACAAATTCTAGAAGCAATCAGTCAAGTTTTATATTAATCATCAAATTCTTTTATTAATCAGTCAACCCTTTTATTTATTGTCCAAACCTTAAATTATTAAGCCATTTTTTCTTTGACTGTTTTCAATAAAATAAACTGTCACGTTAGGATTAGATACTCGTCTATTTTATACAATTTATCTAATTTTAAGATTTATTGTAAACACGTCAATATGTTCCCGGATATCGCTTGAAAATTGGTTTATACTTTATATGCCCCACCCCACTACTACAATTTTTTTCAAGGAAAATAGTTCAAAAGAATTGTGTCGGGGCCACAAACTCAAATTTCCTAATCCCTATGTCTGTGATATTTTGAACTTAGATAATTTGATTTAACATAAATCATTGTTTGAAATATCAAAGGTCTATTAACCTTGGGTTGCAAAAATATTGGAATTTGAAAATCAGAGTTTTTGGCAAAGGCGAGAAGTATATCGTCATATTTTAAGACTTACAGAGTTTCAGGTCGTCGATATAGTCTTATCCTTTGTGGGAACCCATGTAAATCAGATGCATGCAGAACAACTCAAATTAAAATATATATTCTATTTTCTATTTAATCAAGACTTATTATCAAACTTTTCTATTTTTACTCCCAAATAGGACCTAACTTAAAACTTAATATACTACAGGGATTAACCTGAAGGTTTGGAATTAAAATAAAACTGATCTAGATGGTCTTTAAGTTTTCATGTTGATAAGTTTACATTTTCAAGAGCACCGTTCTGAATCTGATATGCGCCTTAAAATCTTAACTTAATCTACTTTTAATTGTTTGAACATAAAGAGTTTTTATCAAACTTGCAGAGTGAAATACTAGAAAACTGCGTCGGGGTTTTAATATTTAATACACTATAATTAAAGACCCCACACTCTTACTTTAGTAGCAGAAAACTTAATAAAATATAGAAGACTAGGCTTTTAGGGCTCTCCGTCCATCTCCGATTTCAATTGAACATTTTCTCTTTATATACGATGTAAAACAAAATAGAAAAAAAGTTCGCGAATTTTATAAAAAAAAATTTCGAGGATTTTTGAAATTTAATAAACATCGAGTTTTGTTGACGGCTAATTTTTGAAAGTTTTATTATTCATAAACCTTTCCTAGGGGTCATGTTAGATCCCACACAAAATTTGGGCCCGATCGGTTCAGCCGTTTTGACGTTTTGGATACAAACAAACAACAGACAGACAGACAAGCTAAATTTACATATAGGTTAAAACTATTTACAAATTCTTAGAGAATTTCGACGCCATTTCTTTTTCCAGTTAAACATATGTCTACATATTTAAAGTAGTAAAATCTGTGTTTGCTTGCTTGTATGTCCAATCATAACTCAGAAACCTTATCACCGATTTGCCTCCAATTTTAATTTTTTTGACATAACCACGTAAATGATCTTAGCTTGGTTCTGAAATTTTAGAGTGAGTTGAATTTTATAGGGAATGTTTAGTTTCCAGGTACAGTTAGGTTTCCAAACTACATAGTTAGTATAATTCTGATATTTAATTGCAAACACTACAGGAACTGTAAGTGCATGGCATTATACCTTCAAGAGACATGCTTGATTTACAACTGTATCCTGTCAAACCTTTGAATAGAAGGGTCACGTGAAGTTCGTATCTAGTTCCTTTCAGCTCCCCACCAAGAGATTCAGTCTTATGTTATACAGGGTGTCCCAATAAACATGAGAATTCAGTGACGAATTGGATATCGTCTTTTCAAATAATTCTTTGATTTAGTATAGGGATACCTACTTAGAAAGCTGTAATTTGTAAGAGTTTCGTCTGCTATGTTCACATTTTGTTTGTTTATGTTTTGACTGCATACGGTTGTACTTTGTAAAACAAGAAAATGACAGTATACAAACAGAGTAAACTTGTCCGTCTTCACTGTTCATCTTGCGGAGACATTATACACACATCTTTGCAGTCTTTTACCCTTTTCATAAAATAAACTCTAGCAGACATGATAGCTGTTATGGCTTTTGAAATTAGGTATTACAATGCTAATTCATAACAAAGACGATATCCAATTCGTCACTGATTTCCCATGTTTTTGGGACACCCTGTACAATACTAAACATATTTTATTAGAATCTGACAATATCTCGGTACAGTACTAAACATATCAAATTCGTCACTGATTTCCCATGTTTTTGGGACACCCTGTACAATACTAAACATATTTTATTAGAATCTGACAATATCTCGGTACAGTACTAAACATATCAAATTCGTCACTGATTTCCCATGTTTTTGGGACACCCTGTATCAAGGAATCAGAATTAATGAATAGCGAGAATTAGCTGAACCGCGTAGGCGTAGTTCAACCACTTCTCTTGAGCTCCAGTTTAAAGCTGAGGAAAAGTGGTTGATACATGTCAATGCCGTTCAACCATTCTCGCAATTCGTTTAATCTGTTCCCAGTTCTATTAAATTTCTATTTTATACTAGAGTCATATACAAAAAAATAGAAAAAAATCAAGTATAGTTTGTTGGGAGGATTCAGGTGTTAGAATATGACAAAATGATCGATTGGAAAGCTTTATTAACTTTATATATTGGAAACTAGTAATTTATGAATAAAAATGCTGCAAGGAGTTCCAATAAACATGAGAATGAGAAATAATTTTTTTTCTTAGCTTTGATCTTGGAAATTTCCAAGCATGGGCTAAAGAAATCTGTATTATTAAAATCTATACTGTTAAATATCTTAAGAGAAAAGTTTTTTTGCATTCTTTCAGGTCTGAAAAGCCAATAAGATAAAATTCTTGATATCTCCGTCAACTTAAAAAGTGATCTCTGTATGAAAAAATCTAAATATGGAATAAAATTCAAATAGAATTTGTTGACCGATTTTTCCTGGATTGCATGCATCACAGTCAAACCCTTCAAATTTATTGATTAATAATAAAATTAATTCATCTCTAAAATATTATACGCACTTTTAACTATGTTTTTTAATCCCATTTTGATTCTTTTACAAATTATTTGAGTTTCCATAAAATCATAAATTCAAAAATAAAGAAATAAAATTATAAAAATGAGTAAGAAAACTTACTTTTTAAGAAACTAAATACTTTATGCTTATTGCAAAGTTATGAATATAAAACAATATTGCAGATATTCTAGTAAATACAAATTCTAGTAAGATTTTGATAAAACAAATGGGTTAAAAAACTTTGTTTTTGCTAAATCCCACCTAGCTCTGTTTCCTAGTTAACAGAAGTTTCTAGGATTGTAAATGTATTGTACAAGAGACAACTTTTCTCTCTTGGTTATTCTGAACAAATATACAAAACTTAGTTTCATGGATCTATTGAATCAGGATAGGATATACAAATAGTTTGGTTTCAAGGTTCTATTAAATCAGAATAGAATATACAAATAGTTTGGTTTCAAGGTTCTATTAAATCAGAATAAAATATACAAATAGTTTGGTTTCAAGGTTCTATTAAATCAGAATAGAATATACAAATAGTTTGGTTTCAAGGTTCTATTAAATCAGGATAGGATAAGCAAATAGTTTGGTTTCAAGGTTCTATTAAATCATGAAAGGATATGCAAATATTTTGGTTTCAAGGATCCATCAAACAAGGATAGGATAAATAGAATCCTGCTCTTTCCTGTATTCTATTTTCTCCATGGAAGTCAGGTTTACCACTCTATCCTGTATTCTATTTCTCCATGGCAGTCAGGTTTACCACTTTACCCTGTATTATATTTTCTCCATGGAAGTCAGGTTTACTACTCTATCCTGTATTATATTTCTCCATGGAAGTCAGGTTTACCACTTTATCCTGTATTCTATTTGCTCCATGGAAGTCAGGTTTACCACTCTATCCTGTATTATATTTCTCCATGGAAGTCAGGTTTACAACTCTATCCTGTATTCTATTTGCTCCATGGAAGTCAGGTTTACTACTCTATCCTGTATTCTATTTGCTTCATGGAAGTCAGGTTTACTTGGTTTACTACTCTATCCTGGCAAAGTTTTGATCAAATTACGAGCTATTTTAAAGAGATCATAGCAAACATAAAGAGGCTTGTTACACAAAGGGCGGAGGATGGGGGAGGGGAAAGGGAGGGATATGGAGGGAGCGAGGGGACAGGAGAGGGATATTGAGGGAGCATGGGGACCGGAGAGGGATAGGAGAGGGAGGGATGGGACAGGAGAGGAGAGAAGAGAAAGAGGGAAAGGCGCAGAATAAAGCATGTTATGCTTTATGAAGCCGGTATGTGTAGCCATATACCACATATTAAAATCATGTATGAAAAAAATTATTTAATGTAGAATTTAACTTAAAAAATAGGTTCTTCAAGCTTTAGGTTTTGATTTTATTTTAGAAATTATTAAATCATTTTCACAGAAAATTAGCGAAAGCGTTTGGCATGATATATTTTAATCAAGCATAAAATTTAAAAACCTTTTATGAAATTGACTGATCTGGAGTGAAGGTGGTGCTACTGCGCCAGGGAGTATTCCACCTGTTCAAGGATTTCAAGGTAATTATCAATAAATCAATTTATCAATCGATTAATTGATCAATTAATTAAATTATCAATAAATTAATTAATCAATCAATTAATCAATTAATAAATAAGTCAATTAATCAATCAATCAATCATTCAATTAAACAATTAATTAATAACTCATTCAATCTGAATTCTGTAAAAAAGGAATTTAACAAATTTGAAAAAGAAAACAAGAAATTTGCCAGAGCTTAATATCTGCGTTTTCGGCGCCGGTCCAACAATTTAAAATTAACCCACATTTTATTTTTTTTACTTTAAAGCTGAGATAACTTTTTGATACCCTTGATCTGGTTTCTCCTTGTTTTGTTCTTAGTAAATTATCATCTTATTTTATAACTTTATAAGATTTAATGACTTCAGTTGAATTCCTCCCTCCTCCTTTCAGTTCTTAATTCTCCACAATGAACTCTTTCAATATCTCCATGCCCCCCCCCCCTCTCTAACAATTAACTCCCATTTTACCTCCCCCCCTCCTCCTTACCATTTTTCTACCTTCCGATTTTAACCTTCCAATGACTACCCACTTTTCAGGTTCATTTCAATGACTAGGCCGAGTTTGAATCAGCCCGACACCCCTTCAACTTACCTCTCCCTAACCCCCATCTTTCCATATATAGTAATAAAGCTCATACACATTTGAATTTTTTCTTCAAAAATCGATTTTTGAAAATTCCACGGGCAACGCTGGGAACTACAGCTAGTATCTCATACCCATACACCTTCCTGTTTTTATCTTTACGCATTATCATGCAATTTGTTACCTCCTGATGATATCTCTCAACCTTTGAGGCCTATCTTTAATCACCTCTTACTAATTCCTTACCAATTCATGAGATATCTCTGACCCAAAACCTACCTCATTCTACCTAACCCTTACTTTCCGTATTAAACTTCTCCCTACTTTTACCTTTCCTTAACTCCTTTTTAATTATTTACCCCTCACTTTCTTTTACATGATCCCTTAACTTACCACCTTATTCTAACTTTCCTTAACTCCTTTTTAATTATTTACCACTTACTTTCTTTTACATGATCCCTTAACTTACCACCCCATTCTAACTTTCCTTACCTCCTTTTTAATTATTTACCACTTACTTTCTTTTACATGATCCCTTAACTTACCACCACATTCTAACTTTCCTTACCTCCTTTTTAATTATTTACCACTTACTTTCTTTTACATGATCCCTTAACTTACCACCCCATTGTACCTTCCCTTGACTCCTTCACAATTTACTAAGATATAGACAACCCTGAAACTTAATTAGACAGCCTTGACTTGGACGTTGGTTTTACCTGACCAACTGATTTATACTTATTTTGTGGCCCTAGACATATTGCATTATAAAAGTGCAATGCCCTTGTTTTTAGCTTAAGTTTGAAAGGAGTAATTGGCAAAATACTATTCGATTGTTTTGAGAGCATGCACATTTTGGTTCGCAATGAATTTCCTGCTCTCCTTCTCTCCCCCCCCCCCTTAAACTATTTACAATGCTCTCTATATTACTGCTAAGCCTTTAGAGGACATCCTCAACTTTGCTATAAGTCTGTCCTTTAGTTTTTACCCTTATAATCCCCTCCACCTCCAAAGTTTCTCCTCCCCCTTGGTTCCATCTTCCCCCCCTTTTCCCCCTTCTTTTCCTCTTTCCTCTGACCTCCTTTTCCTTCAATATATTTCTCTATCTCTTAGGTTCATAACACATCATAGAATTTGACTTGATGAAAAACTTAAAAAGAGAAGTCTCTTTCTATGACAGGGAAGGAAGTTTGCCTATCTATCCACTTCTCTTGTTTATAACTCTCTTATTTTATCTATTATCTACTTTTCTATAACTCTATTTCTATAACTCTTTACTTCTTTAGTTGTCTAGTTATCTAGATATCTATCTCTATCTACTATAGTTCTACTACGGAACTATAAGGTGTATTAAAAAAGTTTGAAGAGGGAAGAACATAAAGTACACACTAGATGAACAACTGAATCTGTTTCATCTCGAAATGTAGATCTTGCTTCTACAGTTTTTAGTCACAATGAGGATTTAGACGGTTTCCTTTCCGGTCAAGTAATCCATTTCTCTGTTGCCAATTTAAGAATGAAATCTTTTTAACAACTGGTTTTCAACAAAGTAGGTCTGATACTGCAGTCTATTTTGTATTTATGATTATACAATTAGGGCTTATGCAGGAATGTAATAAATATCGGGTCACATGATATACTGTAAACTTGCAGTACATTGTACATTAATTATCTATGTTTGTAAACTTGTACGAAAAAAGACCATTATTCATTTGAACTTCGTTTCAAATGAATACGTATTACGTAGCATGGTTAGCCTAAACCCTTTATAAAATGTACATTCAACTAATGAATATGTGTGGAAATAGCTTAACTACATTATATCTATCCTCGCTAATCCTATAAAAAAGCGCCTTAAATGCACCTACTTAAATTGTGCTGTAATAAATAACATGTGATATAGATAACGACGTAGGAATTGTAATTACGTCTAGTAACTTTAACTTGTAACATAAACCTCAAATACAGTTAGTTAAAATCAGAACTCTGCTTTGGTTTACAGTATAAAGTAATTTGGTTTTGTTGAAACATACAAATTGAGATCATGCCTTGAATATTGGCTTTGATAAATAGATCTCTATTGTCTGGTTGACATAGCAAACAAAATTGTGCTCAGTGGTAGTGGCGTTGATAGTTCACTGGATTGTAGCCGTGTGGATCGTTTTCTGTTTGATATTCCTGAGATGGAATTTAAAGAATTTGAGCCGCGGTTTAAATCCGCCAAAACCCGGTTTAAATTAAGTGCCGGTTTAAATCTTGAAACATTTGATACAATTTTAAGTGGAACCAACCATATTTAAACCGCGGCTTAAATTTAAACCGCCGCTCAAATTCTTTAAATTCGGCCGCTGGACTGATACTTATGGGGACGAGCTTTTAAGAGTTCGGCATTTACTACATGAATACATATTTACAGAGTACTCCCTCTCCCCTTCCCCCCCCCACTCCTTCCCCTAGCAAAATAGAAAGAATAAATTTAGGATGAAGCATCTCAGGATTTCATTGTCTTTTAGAAAATATTTAGCTTAGATTCATATTCTTATCTTCCAAAATCAATGCTTTAGGGATAAATATGTTTAGAAGGAAGGATAGATAATTAGTGAAAATATGTTTATTTCCAACTGTCGAAAAAAGGAAGTATTTAAAAGAAAAAAATTAAACAATTTTACGTTTTTTTATCTTCCTAGCGAGCCTGAACATATTTTTCTGAAGAATTTAAACCACTTTTTGTCTTCTTTCTTGATTGATTGAAAGAAAATGAGTTTATTTCTAACTGTCGAGGAAAAGAAGAATGTTTTTTCTAAAAAAAATCGTTGTAGGTCTTTTTCCCAGAGAGAACATTTAAAAAAAATGTAAACCATTTGTTTCATTCATTCATTCATATTTTTATTCAACTACAAAGCACGAGATAATACAAATAAAAAATCACAATTTACTATGTAGTTTGGACCCGCCTAACCAGAGTAGGTTGTTTTAATTGGTTGGCCCACTATAAACGAATGATAATTGCAGATAAAAACAATGTACATTGTACATTTTAAACATAAGAATGATAATAACTCAGGTAAAAGGTAAGGAGGAGGTGAGGGAGTATAAAGAAAAGGGAGGATACTCAGCGTAAGGGTTGGAACAGAGGGTAACATAAGTTATTAGAATCATGTTTATGAACTACAGGGTGAAGAAGATAGTAAAGACTAAGTTTATCCACATGATACACAGTTTTTTTTTTTACNTAAACAGAATTATATTTTCTAAAAGTTTCTAAATTGTTTGTAGTTGGATTCAGGATTTTTTTCTTAAATAATTTTTCTTTTTGTTTTCTTGACACTAGCAAGGCGGAAGTGAACCAAGGGTTAACAGAATTTTTATTTTTGTTTGGTTTATATTTGATAAATGGAAAGCTTTCTTCATAAATATTATTTAAAGTGTTAGAAAATTCAGAAAAGGCTGTAGAAGGATCTTCATTTATCATAACATGAGTCCAGTCATTGAGTAACAATTTTTCCTTAAACTTGGTTTTATTTTCGATTGAAGTGTTTCTAATTAGAACTGGTTTGCTACAAATATCACCTTCATGTTGTGTACATTTAGACAAAGAAAAAACGGGTAAATGGTCAGATAAACTTGAGTAGATAGTTTCTTTCTTTCTTTGTTTCTTTCTTTCATTCTTTCTTAGTTTCTGGTAATTTATGTGTTTCAGCTGACTTTCACACTTTCCCTATTCTCTTTTCTTTATAAAGAGAAATGCGGAAGATTGAATTTTCTTTTCGCTTTATAAATCTACTCAATCTTCATCCATATTTTCAAAAAATAAGTTGCTCTTAGTCTGCAGCTTTTTATCCCACAGTTTCTAGGTTATTTATTAATATTAAAGGATGGTTGTTGTCAATAAAAGATGGGAAAATTCGATAAAACATCTTTTTCTGTGCCACAAACTAAAATTTTCTAATTCCTATCTTTGCAACCGGATAGTGTAAACCTGTGATATTTCAAAAGTTTAGTTAATCCAACATAATTAATAATTTGAAAAAGGTTGCAAATATAAAATTAGTCTTTGGGGCAAGGAATCATTTCCTTGAATATTAATGATTTGATTCGTATCACCGACATAGGGTCAAATGACCAAAGGTCTAGATTCAGAATTCTGTTTTTAAACTACAAGAAATAAGTAAAAACGCATGTATATTAAAATGTGCAACCATTTCTGATACTTGATTCAGTGAGGTCTAAATCTTAAAATAACCCATTAGTTTGTAACTATGCTTTTTTGCATACTATATTCTTTTACAAGCATTCTTAAGAAGGAATGGAAATGCAATATATACTATTTTTGTTCTTAATATTCTTATAAAATGATATTTCTATAGTAATAGGTTTCAGGTTTCCCTTATAGTATTATCTATCTTATTTTATTACAGTAAGTCAAAGTACATATTTGTGTTTGTATCTACTATCTATTATCTACTACCTACTATCTACTATCTAAATTCTACTACTTACTATCTACTATCTACTATCTACTATCTACTCTCTACTATCTACTATCTACTATCTACTATCTAATATCTAATATCTACTATCTACTATCTACTCTCTACTAACTACTATCTACTATCCACTATCTACTATCTACTATCTACTACCTACTATCTACTATCTACTATCTACTATCTACTATCTACTATCTAGTATCTACTATCTACTATCTACTATCTACTATCTACTATCTACTATCTACTATCTACTATCTACTATCTATAACTATCTAGAATGACATTGAAACATTAGCTAATGCATCTAGGCTTGATTATCTAAATCATTATCAAAAGAAAGATTTCCTCAACATCCTATTACGTTTTCACAAATCAATATTTACTTTTCCCGACATTCTTTGGATGAATTCCAACTAGTCTTGTATTTTATTTCTTGTCTAAAATCCCATTTTCTTTTTATGTACAAAAGCATTCTCGTGCATATAAGTTACATTAAATAGATTACCCAGTATTTTCTAAATTGTTTCTTTTAATTGTTATTTTTCCGAATGGGTCTGTATCACATAAGAAGGATAGTTAAGAAGATCCAGTTGCAGCAAACTATTTAATTTGTAAATACTCTCCAACTAATGGGGTTGTATAATGTATGTAATGAGGCATCAGTAGGGTTGAATTAATCGTTTTTGAAAATGATCGAAAAACAATCGTTTTTCGCTTCGTTTTTCGATCGTTTTCAAAAACGATCATATCGTTTTCAGAAAAAAACGATAAGGGACCGTTTTTTATACGATGTTTTTAAAAAAACGAAAAAAAAAATGAAATTTATGAATTTCATCTTATATGCAATTTTACCGAATGTCGTCTTACATTCAGGTTTATAAAAAAGGTCCCTAAAAAATTATGGGGAAGCTAAAACTTCTTGTTATTTTTTTTAAAAACTACTCAATGATAAATACCAATGTCCTTCATGTCAGAATTCCTCTCTCCTCCTCTCTTCGTTAAAGGGAGTGTTCGCGAAAAATGAATGGGGGTTTAGGCTTAATGCGATAAAAAAACACTTTTGATCGCTGCTAATCTTACTTCTATCTGTTGCGTCTATAAGGAAAATTGTTAAAAACGACTATTACCGAAGAACGTCCACTCCATACAAAATCAGAAAGATTCAACATTCAACTCGGATCATAGACAAATCAATTTAATTCCAAACAAATCATTCAGATATTATAAACAATAGTCATCGATTATTTTTCGACGCATTCTTAAATCCGAGTTGAATATTGCATCTTTCCGAATTTTTATGGACGCACCGTGTGAGTCGTTTTTAACAATTTTCTCCTTATAGACACAACAGATAGAAGTAAGATTAGTAGCGATCAAAAGCGCTTTTTTTTATTGCATCAAGCCTATACCCCCTTTCATTTTTCGCGATCACTCCCTTTAACGATCTTTTACGAAGGGTTGTCGTTAACGATTGAAAACGAAACAACAAACTTTTTAAAAACGATAGTTTTTAAAACGACCGCTTTTGACAAACGATTTCTTTTTTTCGTCGATCCACCCCTAGGCATCAGACGTTTTTTCGTCGGACCAAGAAATCATTTTTACTTTATTCATCTTATACGGACAACTTCTCTACTGATGGATTCCCCTTTAAAAGAGGAGTATTTCAAGGTGACCCGCTTAGTCCCATCATATTTCTGATGGTTTTCAATCCAATCATTAAATTTCTACAGAGTAAGAATGATTATGGATTTAATCTGAATGAAGAGAAAATTATTACTCTGCCCTATGCTGACGATTTTTGCCTGATAACAACAGATCTGAGAAAACATCAAAAAATTCAAAATGAAATAAAATCCAAGATTGAAAGTATGGGAATGAGATTAAAACCAGCAAAATGTAGATCATTTTCCATCAGATCAGGTGTACCTAGCAGAATAAACTTTACTATTGGTGAAACTGAAATTCCAAATATATTTCAAGAAGAGCAAAAATTCCTTGGCAAACTTCTATTTCCTACTGGNACCCGTAAAATGTTACCGTAATTTTTCCATTTTTTAAAATGAATTCACACTTCTGATTATGTATAGCCCGGACAGCAACACACAACTAAGCCTGTAGTACATAACCTGTCAATTATAAAATGCAATATCCAGAGAAAAGAGTATTAGTTTGTGAACTTTTATATTGTTTAATGTAATTTTGCTTTAGACAAATATAAATGATAAATATATATTTATTACTAAAATCCTACAACTTTTATTTTAGGCTTTTTAAATGATTTTTATTTGTTCATTTCATAAACTTGTGCTCGAAAATGGAAAAAAGTATTGATACAAGAAACGTTGCCCTTAGCTCTTTCTACAAATTACTTTTTTATAAATTTCTAGAAAGTTATTTGTTACATTATCTTTATTTTTAATTTTTAATATTTTGGTCATTTTCTGTATGGACTGAAGAGGATATAAAATATATCAAAATTAATTTCCAAACCCGAGTGTTTCTACCTGTGAGACTAAAACCTTTTTTTTGCCAGTTTGGACAATTTACATTTAGATTATACAACTTTACCAAGCTTCGACACATTTTTGTTGCTTTGAGGTGGGGATGGAATTCAGAAAAATGACAAAAGATACAATTAGTTTACTCCTAATCACAAAATGCATATTGCAGAGAAAAGATAGGCAGAAAGATAGATATATATAAATGTTTATTTATTAATCAAATGCTAAGCTTAAATGATAAATACCTAATGTAAAGTTGTACACTGTAATCAGCCTAGGCATAAGGCAAAAACAAGTTTAATTTAATAGTTTTAACTTTGAAACTTTGTAACCAGAAAATAGGTAAACTAGCAAAATAGTTTTAATATATTTTAGGACTTTTACACAATCCAGGATCCACAGTACCAAAACCAAGATCAAGAGAGGAGGTTAGTTTTTAATAAGATATCCCTGGTATCCCTGGTATCCTTGGTATCCCTGGTATCCCTGGTATCCCCAATATCCCTGGTATCCCTGGTATCCCTGGTATCCCTGGTATCCCTGGTATCCCTGGTATCCCTGGTATCCCTGGTATCCCTGGTATCCCTGGTATCCCTGGTATCCCTGTTATCCCTGGTATCCCTGGTATCCCTGGTATCCCTAGTATCTCTGGCATCCCTGGTATCCCTGGTATCCCTGGTATCCCTGGTATCCCTGGTATCCCTGGTATCCCTGGTATCCCTGGTATCCCTGGTATCCCTGGTATCCCTGGTATCCCTGGTATCATCTAAATGTATTCTTGAATGAGTACTTCACACACAGAAGTGTATTCGATGAATATTGCTCCTGAATCAATCATGAATTACCATTTACAGAGTACTTCCGTAAACATGAACCTTTAAGATATTATCACCATCATAAGCGCTAAATATTTAAAACAAACTTGTAACTAAACAATTTATATTCTGATTTATACATTCTTATTTCTATTTTGCACCAGGAAAATTTTCTAATATTTGCACTGATAAATTATTATGAAGGGACATTTAACTTTATTAAAAATAAGGCCACATTAATGTTTTGTAAATCAGCCAATTCCGCTACACCCAGCAGTAATAATTACTGCTTTAAAGGGACAGACCGGCAATGTAAGGTAGTTAAACTGAGTATGCAGTGTTGTGGACAAATACTTTAGAATTCACTAGTACCAGTACACTCCTGTATGCCGAGTCCATTAGGACCTGATACAATCAGGGTTCAGTAATGTGTTTGTTGTCTATTCTGAACCAATAGAAATAGTATGGCAGTAACATCTATCTTTCTATCTTATTATCCAATCAGAGTTATGAATCCTTCAATCGGCACTATCAGTAAATGGAAATATTTACTTATACTGAAACTATAGTGAGTAGAATGAAAATAAATTTATTAAATAAAATACCCTGCAGCACAATTGCTGTGTTTCATGTACAATGAAGTATTTAAATCAGTGGTCTTTTTGTTCACAGTTTAATGGATCTGACTGTATATATCCAGGTGTGTGAGTTGACAGCTGAGGAGGTTAGATGGTTTTATAAACCAGAATTGGATAAACTTTGGATTCCATTCGACGGATATGATTCTTTAAGGTAAACAATAAAACTGGTAAAAAATGAGATAAAAACTAAATAATTTAAAATTGAATTAAATCAATTTAAAAAAAAAAACAATGACAATTGTCATGAATAGATAAAAATCATGAATAAACAGACACACTCATGGACAAAAACAGCACATTCACTGATACACAGAAAGTTTAAAGAACAACCAAGAAACAAAAATCAAAGAGGTCAAACTTAAGAAAAAGCAAACCCAAGAAATTTAGACACACTCGTGATAAAAATAGACAAAGAAAATTAAGGACGAATTCAGAAAAAAATATTATTCAAAAGCATTAAAAAATATTGACTCTGAAGTTAAACATGTATCAGTTTTGATCACAATAACAGATACAATAATCATGCACACCTCTCCTCTCTTGACGTCTTGACTTATTGGTTAGTAGTGTATCGTAAACCTTAACATAGTAAATAAATGATAACTATCTAAAGCTGCACAAACTTCATTTATAAAATATTGAAAGTTGAACGAGCAACCGATCAATCAAATTTAAAATGCATCATCCGCCTCCCATCAAAATATGCAAAGTAGCATCTCCTGGTATCTCCTGCTTTATCCCATCTGCCCGTGAAATGAATTTTACTTCCTTACTAACAAACCACAGTTTTCCTTCACCTCTCCTTTCCCTTCAATCTTCCTTTCCCTTCAGCTTTCCTTTCCTTTCAACCTACCTTCCTTTCCTTTCAGCCTACCTTTCCCTTCAGCCTTCTTTCCCTTCAGCCTACCTTTCCCTTCAGCCTTCTTTCCCTTCAGCCTTCCTTTCCCTTCAATCTTCCTTTCCCGTCAATCTTCCTTTCCCTATTATCTTCCTTTCCCTTTAATCTTTCTTTCTTTACAGCCTTCCTTTCCCTTCAATCTTTTCTTCATTTTGTTCTCTTTTTCCTTATTTATATTTATATTTCTTTCCCCGTCGCCTTTCTTTTCTTTTAAAGTCCATTTTACCGTCACATTTCCTTTCTCTTTGCCTTTTTTCCCTTCACTCTACCTCCTCTACCTTTCCCGTAACATGTTCTAGATAAACTATCTTACTTATTTGGTTTACCTCTACTTTATATTAAAGATTTAACTATGTGAGTAGGGGTGGGTGCATTTTCTTATTATAGAGGTAGACAGTAGACACTCCTTGATTTCCATCCTTATGTACATTTTTATGCTCACAAATTACCCCCCCCCCCCCATCCTATCTAATCAAGAAATCATTATCGTTATATTTCTAGAATAGAGAGAAGAAAACTTACAATTTCCATTTTAGACTAAGTTGTTTAAATTATAACATTGAAGAACGTCAAAAAACAATCTGTGAACTGTTTATTAAGTTAAAATATCAACTTTGATTGGGGAATTTGGGAAAACCACGGGAGTATTACTAGCTTTGCTAAATAAATTGGGTTTATTGGTGTTTATAGTGGGTTTATAGAAAAGTTTAGTTTTCAAGCAATGCTTGGTTTCCAACCTATTCTAAAATAGAATATATTAATATACAAAGTATTTTAAATTTTAATTGGGGAGAGTTTTTAGCCTGGTTTGCTTCTTTAAAGAAAACTCCATACAAACCAGGGTTTCCAAGCTGGTTAAAATATATTTCTATACTTAATCTGATATTCCTGGGAGGAAAATATTAATAAAATCTCAAGTGACCATTTTGGCCTCAAGCTAAACTTCTGCTCTACAATAGGGGTTCAAGACTCTGGATGAAAAAGTTAATCTTGTGGAAAATTTGATGTGGTTCCGAGGGGGGATCTTTTTGTTTGTTTTAAACACTTACTGCTGGAAAAAGAAATGTTTTAATTCCGTGGAATTAAATTAGTGTAATTTCTTGCATAAATATTCATTAACCAGTTTAAATAGAAACAAATATTTTTATCCCCCCCCCCTCCCTCCCCTCTGCATCTAAACTTAAAGTAGTATCATCCCCTCCCCCTTCACTCTTCATGAAACCAATGTAAGAATGCTGGTAGGAATATTTTAATGGATATTTTCAAAAAACATACAAAACAAAATCTCTAGATAAAATGTCATTTTTTCTCCAATACTTATCAATATTACATTTTAGGATAGAAATCAGATACAGACATATCTGGCAAACTAAATGGAGACAGGGAAATAAGGTTTTCTTCTTCTTCTTATTACCCAAAGAAGAGCGCATAGCCTGAACAGGTACTATGATGGTAGTGGAACAGACAGCTATAGTGGAGATAGCGACGAATATGCTTTCAGGTATTTTTTCTGAAAATATTTAAATTTTGTTCTTAAGTATTTTATTCAAGCAACATTTGACGCCCCACGCTCCCATTTGCAGGTATAGCATGTCGTTTGGAGCTATTTCATTTCAAGAAAATTAATTGTGATCGATTTTTCACTTTTTTTAGATGTGATGTGACTATATAAATATGAGTTCATGCCGAATTTCAGGCGCATATGTCTAAAAACCGCAATTGATATTTAGCATTTCAAAATCCAAAAAAGTCCTTATAATAAAGAAATTTCTTCAAAACATGTCAAAATTGGTAACAAAAGCGCTGTGAATAATGTCCGTTATTTAGTTATTTAGTTCGATATTTTTTTTAATTGTTTCAGTTATTTCCAAAAAAACTGGTTGTGTCGGGATTCTGCAAATTTTTGGTCACAAATATCAGATTTTTGCTTCTCAGTGTTTTATCAAATTATTAGTTATTGCATAATTTAACGGATTTTTACGATTTCAAATCGATATTGATGATTTTGAAGATTTTTTTAAGCTTGCATTAGTAAATTATTTAGCCTTAAGTTTCCTAAAAACTTGTTTCCTGTTGGCACTTTTAACTTGCGAAAAATCGTCTTTTTTAAAAGTTGTTTTAATATTCAAAACTAATAATTTGCACATTGAGGGGAGTGTAGTGGTAAACATTGACCATCTTTACCCATGCTGCATTGGATTTTTTAATCTAGTTTTGAATTGAATATATTTTGACTATTTTCTTACACTTCTTTGCCAAAAAAATCACTTTAATTAAATCTGAGGTTTCAGGTATTCGATTTTTAAGATGACATAATAACGACATTCTCAAAATAAAGTTTTAAACAGTTACTTATAAGAAAAGTTTTTAGAATTTTTAAATGAAGGCTCCATTTCAGAACTAAATAAAATAGACATATTATTTGAGTAGGAAAATGGCTTACAAAACAATGTGCTTTAATAAACTTTACTCTGCTATATATAATGATGCATAAAGAGGAAAAGATTAATGAGAAATATATAGGTATATATTGAGGATGTATATATATAGAACTGTTTAGGAATCCAAAGAGATCAAAAACATCATTTAGACCACTATTTATGATTGACTTTAGAATATAATAGGGAACTTATTCCCCGAAATATACTTTCATACACTCTACACTCTACACTCTACACTCTACACTCTACACTCTACACTCTACACTCTACACT